CTTTGGGCAACTTCAGTTGGTTTGCCAGTTGAGCCCCTCCCCTGAATGGCGTGTTCCCGTCCCATTAACATCCATACATATGTGTCATCAAGTCACAACCAATTTGTGACAACTCCAGCAAGGGTCTTTCACAGCTAGTAAGAGGCAGAGGTGGTTTGCCATTGCTTTCCTTTTTAGACCCTTCTTTGGTGGTCCCATCCATGTACCAACCCTACTTAGCTTCCAAGACCTGATGAGATCGGGCTATACCATGCCACCTTCTCTCCAGTTTGGTGTAGTGGTTAGGAGAGCGGAGGACTCTAATCTGGGAGAACCGGGTTTGATTCCCCGCTTCTCCACATGCAACTGCTGGTGTGACCTCAGGTCAGTCACAAGTTCCTTCAAAGCTGTTCTTTCAGGAGCAGTTCGCGAAAGAGCTCTCTCAGCCCCACCTACCTCACAGGGTGTCTGTTGTGGGGAGGCGAAGGGAGATTGCAAGCCGCTCTGAGATTCCTTCGGGTAGTGAAGGGCGGGGTATAAATCCAATCTCCCCCCCTCTTCTTCTTCTTCTTCTTCTTCTTCCTGTCTAGTACTGTATAGCTCAGCTCATTTACTACCAAGAGCTGGATGAAGTAATATTAGCACCTATTCTGCAGTCACTCCACGGGTTACTGATTAGTTTATGAGTTCAGTTCAAGGAACTTCTCCTGGATCCAGGCCAAGGTAATCCGAGTCACAAGGCCTTTGTCTTACGAGGTGTCACCCGATGGCGGCCAAGTACTTCGGAGGCATATCAACCAGCTCTGCCGCCATCTCCTCCCTGCTGAGCCGGGTCTGCCATAAGTGACCCAGATGAAGATGAAGCAGAGTTTCCAGATCTACAAGAACCAGAGGCCAAGAGAGGGGTCCCAGCAGCCAGCACGGAACTCATAACCAGAACCACCAGATGGACCTGTAGAAGCAACGCCAGAGCAGGCGGCCACAGATGGGCCCGAGGTCACGCTGATGCCACTGACACCCCTGAGCGCCATGGCTGTTACATCGGGCCCAGAGCTAGAAACCCTGGCCCCGCTGACGGAAGCTCATCGCTCGAGCCGAGAGCGACGCAGACCGGCCTATCTGAGAGACTATGTCTGTTAGGTACTTCTGAACCTTGGTGGGGAGGGGTATTATGACTGACCCAGCTTGGGGAGATGGAACAATAGACTGATAGGCACCTGGAAGGAACCTATCAACCAGGAGTACCTCTGTAAATAACCTATCACGAGTAGTGGGTGTGTGCGGGGTGTGGTGTTATGCAAGAATTTAAGCAGGGCTTTGGTCCTGCTAAGGTTGTCTCTAGTCCGATCTGATTCACAATGAAGCATGAGCTGATCACTACTCGCGTGTCGAACCCAGTATATTTCATAGACCTATGAGCATTTCTTAAGAGGTAGCTGAGGTGAGCCTGGGAAGGCCTTGAGGGGCTTCCTCCTCCCTGCTAGGTCTCTTCCCAGAGAGAAAATATTTAAAACCGCTAGATGAAAGTTTTGCTCGTTTCAGACCTCAAAAGAAAAAAAGGCATCTCTTACCACCCTTCCCTTCTCTCCAGGACATGGCTTCCATCATTCTCCTCTCCTCCATTTTATCCCCATAACAGCCCTGTGAGGTAGGTTAGGCTGATAGTGTGTGCCTGGCCCCCAAACATCCAGCAACCTTCCATGGCAGCCTGGGCCTCCCAGATCCTAGTCTGACCTGCTGACTGCCTCCCCCTTTGCTCTCCAGACCCCTGATTTCCATGAGTTCCTAGGGGAGAGAGGAGCCCGAGGAATGGGATGAGACAGGTCTGCGGCGGAAACACCACTGAGATAATATCCTGAGTGGTTTAGAAACTTGCTTATGATGCTGAAGGCTGATCAGGAGCAACATAAAAAGAAAGCTCTTGTAGCAAATTGCTGCTAATTGGGATGGACGTCCTGCCACCTCCCTCCATGTAAGCCTTCTTCTTCATATATTTCTTCTTCACCTTTAAGCCCAGGGGGTTACTTTAGTCTGAGACTGACTCCTATTTGACATGAATTGTAATCAGCCAGGCACTTTTAAGTCCTTTGTAGGTTACAGCTCCAAGGTCAGCTGGTAGATCCCCTGCATTGCACACATGAGTTAAAACGTTCCTGAACTGAGACTGAGAAAGATCTTTGCCAAAGACTTTGGAGAGCTGCTGCAAGTTAATGGAAACAATACTCGGTGGATCAGTCGTCTGAATCGTTAAAAGACAGATCTAGGTTTCTGAAACTGAACTGAACTGAGACAGGTTGGTTGTCCGAGGACCAACTGCTGCTTTGTTAGATTGCTATCCGATAGTCAGACAAATGTTTGCCTGATGGTTCTTCGAGGAAGGAGATGCTTCCTAGGTGGGCAATATGTATGTTCAGATCATATGCCATTTACACTTTGCAGAACGTGACAACCCCCACAGCTGAAGGGAAGCAACTAATGTGTGAAGAAACCACATCTGTCATGAAACAGGGACAGCAGCAGAGTGAGGCCATGTTTCTGTCAAGAGTTTCTAGCAAGAGGTAGCTGGCACTGGGGGTAGAGCAGCGAGAGTCTGTCCTAGTTGTTTTCTATTGCCCCAGAAGAACAGACCAAAACCAACAGGTTGAAATTAAATCAAAGGAGGTTTCGGCTAAACATTTGGAAGAACTTCCTGACAGTCAGAGC